CCCAATAAAGAGACTGCCTTGAGAGAGACCAAAGTCATCTCTCCTCACTCCTTGTAGCCCAAAAAGGAGGTTGATCCTGGCTCAGTTGCCAGTTTTCTTTGGCACAGTCCTCAGACCCCAGGACACACAAGGACCAAGTAAGAATCCAGGGTCACATATGTCCTTTAGCAAAGGGCCAGAGCATGTGTTCTTCGTTGCAGGGCCAAAGTGTGCATGCCCAGCCCCAGGGGAGGTGCACCCCAGGTCAGCAGATCTAGGGATTCCCCCGATCACCTGTTACATGAAAGAACAACCATGGAGAAAGTTGTAGGGAGGAAACAAGATGAGAAGAGAACATGGCTGGATTGCCAACATCCTGCTTACCTTGGACCGTAGCAGGCCGGCTGGTTAGCATCCTAGCCATTTTAAGAGTTGAGGGAACAACTTCAGAGACCATATGACTTTGTCTCTCCTGTGCCCAAGACCAGCCCTAAAAATTAATGAAGACCACGGTGAAGACTAAATGCTGGAGTCTGGATGGTTTGACAGCATTTAGTAATGAGCTGTCCTCCCTAGGATTCCTACATGAATCGCCACTGCCCATAGAAAGCTGACCCCAAACTACTGGGACTGGACTGAGCAGCTGCTCAGGTGAGGATAGCTCACCACGAGGCTGGGGCCTTCCCCACACAGGCCCCTAAGCTGCTCTGGGCAGTTTCCAGGTTTGTTTCAGGGTTAGAGCCTCTTCCCTTAATCTGCTCACCCCACTTCACCCCCTTGTCCCCACTGAGCAGGCTCCCTGGGACCTGCTGAGAGCATCAGGACCCTGCACCACCACCAACATTACTTTTAAGAGAGATGAATTTGGGACCAGGAGGCAGTCTACTAATGTTTGCTAGTAATGCTCCTGGGGACAGCGTGGAACAGGGCAGAGTCCTGGCCATGGGGTCGGAAGGTGGATGTTCAAATCCTCCCTTTGACTTACTGCTTATATGACCTTGGGCAATTCACTCAACCTCCCTGGGTCTGAGTTTCCTCATCTGTAAAATGAGAGGGTTGGACTAAATGATCTCTGAGGTCCCTCCCAATTCTCAATGGGTGGTCTTATGTAAGATAGCCCAATTTCACACTCGTGGGCCTCTTTGAACTGCTAGGCTGCGTCATTCAGTGGTGGTGAGGGGCCAGGACAGGGGACCTGGGGTAAAGAAGAGGCAGGCTCACCTCATGCTCCCCAAGCTCCCCTAGGCTAGTTTCATTCCTGATCTTCCCAGAAAAAGTCCTTTCCCAGATCTTCTGAAACAAGGTGTGGAAGTCCATGTCCAGGTGGGGTGAAAGGAGCTGGTCATGGTACTGATGATGCTGTGTTTTCACCATTCACATCTAACTCTCCACCGAGTTTGTAGGCAGTGGCTATTAATTAGCTTTACCTTAGACAGCAAATTCCTCCTTCTTAGTGAATCTCTATTACCACCTAGTGGTAGAAACTTAAAATACTCAGAGCCAGAGCTAACACAGCAGGGAAAGGGGCCTGTGGGCCTGCCCCAGCCCACCTCCCTCCTCCTCCATCCTCAGCCACTCACACTTAATGCATAATAAATCCAGAACTACAGAATCAAAGAATCATAAAATCTTGGCATCATGATGTCTCCACATTGTATTGAAAGGTACTGTAGAGCTCATTTACTCAAATTTCCTATCCGGTGCAACAATACCATATTGTCAAGTCCCAACACCCCAACAGGTGGTTATGCAGTCTCCACTTGAATATTTAAGGTAATGAGGATCTCACTACCTCACCAAAGGGCACCTAGTTTATACTTGCTGCTAGGCTGGCCCTCATTGTAGATGGAATATAGTTTGTATGCACTAAAAATCTCCCTCTGCCCCCAAACATCTACCCCATTGAACTAAAATGGTGTCCAGAATTCCCAATGTCAAATCACTTCTTTCAGATAAGACATTACCTGTGGAAAACTCCTATTCGCATGTTACCTATAAATAAACTAAGCACCTTTACCACCTGTTACCACACATTTGTGATGATCTGTCACCAGAGAGCAGAACCAGGCCAACTCGCTGCTCAGTGTTTTCATGTTAAGAATGCCTGCCTGCCCCTCTCCCGCATCCTCAGCGCCAGGCAGCCCATGTGTCTTTACCATAATGCAGTGGAGGGAAGGAAGGTAGCATGCTGCAGAAGGGAGCTCTGGGTTTGAATCCTACATCTACCCCATGCTGCCTGTGTGGCTTTATTTAGGCAAGTCATTTCACTCATCTAGATCTTGACATCCTCATTTGTAAAATGAGGGGGTCTGAATAGATGATACTTGCCCTCAGATCCTTATAGCTTTAAATCTATGATCTAGAAGTCAGAAGAGTTGAATTCAATTCCCTTCTATAACATTTGTAAATTGTATGTGCTTAGATAAGTTGTTTAACCTCTATGAGCCTCAGTTGCTCATTTATAAAATGGGGATACTGACTCCCTTGGCTGCCTCACGAGGTTGTTGTATCAAATGCATGAAAGCATTATTTATTTGTCAAGCATTTAGTCAGCGTATGTATGGTGGGGGCCCCAAAGATGCATATGATTTCATCTCTGGCCAACTCACCATAGTGTAAGGACCTGAGTCTGGAGAAGGGAAAGCATCTCCCATGGAGAGGAGACCACCTGTCCAGGGCTCCCACACCCAGTAGACGTGAGGCTAAGGATCCCCTGAGGTGACCTGGGGGTAAAGAGGGAGGGAACTGGGAAGAGGCAGCAGAGAAAGAACAGATTACACACAGGGACTCTTGGTGGGCGGTAGGAAGGGGCAGCAGCATGCTCACTCCACAACCGTGGCTTTCCCTCCTTCATCTGCAAACTGCAGTGTCCTGGAACTAGAATTGGAAAGTGTTTAGTTTTTAATATGTGTATATCTCCATATGTCTTATTATGGGTGTCTGTTACCCAGAGAATCTTAAGATTATAAATTTAGAAAGACTCTAGTCTCCTCAGAAACATCCCTGGCTCTATGGTTATCCAGCCTCTGCTCAAACATCTAAAGTGATGAGGAACCCACTACCTCCTAAAACAGCCTGTGCCACTCTCTGTTTCTATGACAGTGTGTTTTTATGACTGTGTGCAGTATATGTATGTGTGTGTGTCTCTGTGTGTATGCATCAAAACACAACTTTTTGTATATTTGTATACATGTTAGGCAGGAGAAAGAGTGTTTATGGATACATGTGAATGTTCACATAAATATTTAGGATAAGGGATAAATGGTCATCGCCCCTTCCCACCACACCTCCAGCATTTTCCCAGGACCTTGCCACGTTCTCTCACTCTTATTTTCCTGCTCCTCTGTGTTACTCAGACTCTTTTGAAATAAAGTCTCAATAAATAATAGCAGATTTAAAGATTTGCGGGTCCTCCTTTCATCAAAGGACTTTCTTAGTGAGAATTAAATAATGACTTGTTAGAGAAGTCTTAGTCTGAATTAGGTAAGGCTGGTCACAAGTGTTTGGGGTCATAGAACCCATCTCAAAGCATCCACTGCCTCTGAGGGGACAGACGACACCTAAGCTATCCCCAAGTCAATTCAATTCAATTCAATTCAACGTGTGTTTGTTAAGGCCTTCTGTGTGGAAAAGTTTTTATAATATTCCTCTCTCAAGAAAGGTCAGGATAATGAGTTGGAATAGCTTTTTCCATTTGTCCCCAAGCCTATTCTCCAATCATCAAGCTGCAGGGATTTAGAAATGGGACTCATACCCTGGGAAAGGCAAGGCAGCAAACATTTATTAAGCATTTACTTTGTTCCAGGCACTATGACAGTGCTGAGGATACAAATCCAAGCAAAAAAAAAAAAAAGACAGGGCCTGCCTTTAAGGAACTCAGAAGACAACGCACAAAAGACACCTGGTGAAGAGGTGTTCCGAGGTTCTCCCGTACAGGGGAGGATGGTTATTCCAGGGTGAGAAGACAGTGGAAACATGGTGGAATTTCCAGAGAAAGTCTTGCTTGGGTCAAGATGAACCTGAATCTCATTATAGAAAGACTACCAGGCTAGTAGTGAGAAGGTCTGTGTCTTCATCTCATCATACAAACATAAGGAAGTCATTTAACTAGGCTCAGTTTTCTTATCTGTAAATGGAAATACTGTAATACCTGTCTACCTACCTTGCAAGGTTTAGGGGAGGATCCAGTGACATAATAAATATGAAGGTGCTTTGAAAAAGCTGAGAGCACAAAACAAATATAAAGGACGGCATCAGCTAGAAGGAAGTGAACCTTCCCTTTCTTGGCTGGGGAGTATTTGTTTTCCTGGTATGCCCAATTTGAGGAAAGTGCCTTCAGAAGTTTGGCGCCAGAGAGGTTCACCCTTTGGATTATTTGAGCTGATGAACAGTTTGTTAGTTTGAGGTCAGAAATCAAAAACTGAACCTGGATTAGCCACCAAGGCGTCCACCTAAAGCATGGCTCCCCCTTGCTGGACCCCCACAAGCCAATTTCCCCTGCAGTTTTAGAGATTATTCCAATGAGAGCCCACCCCTGCAGAAAGGCTGAAGGAGACCTGAGCAGATTCTCTGTCTGGGTAGATACCGGAAAGAGTCCTGGATTTGGAATCCAAGGATCTGGATTCACATTCCACATGAGGCAAATAATTGGGTGTTTCCTACCCTCTCTGGGGAAAGGAGTGGGTGAGTGGCAATACAAAGGCAAAAGTTAATGTCATTGCCCTCTAGGATCTTACGTTATACAAGCATGCAAAAAAAAAAAAACCCAACTTTTTTGTACTCAGTAGTAGGCATAGAGTAATAAATACTTGTTGTTGATTAATGTATTAATTAATGTGTTAATGTATTAGGTCAGTTTAAGGACCTTATTAGTTAAGATCGTGGGGGGATGGACAGTAGGAGAAGAACACTAGCCTGGCTTCTGGTTTCCGGTTTTTGCCACCATGGTGTCTAAGCTGCTTTCTCTTAACTATCTCCTTTTCGTTTGTATTCTCTTCTCTCCCATCCCTTCCCTAACCCAGCGTGGAGACTGTGAATGATGGGCAGTTTCACAGTGTGGAGCTTGTGATGTTAAACCAGACCTTAAACCTGGTGGTGGACAAAGGAGCCCCCAAGAGTTTGGGCAAACTCCAGAAACAGCCAACAGTTGGCACCAACACTCCCCTCTACATTGGAGGTAAGAATCTCTCTTATTCCTGTCCCAAACTCTGATTGTCAGGGAAAGTTCCCTGACTCAGCTAGCGACTCACCTTCTCCCAGCTCCTCACTCCCAACCAGAATGGGACAGCCCTCTACATCAGAGAAGGCCCATTCCCAGGAAGCCAAGCCATTAGGCCAGCAATGGGGAACCTGCAGCCTCTAGGCCGCATGGGGCCTCAAGTGCTGCCCTTTGACTGAATGCATGTGGGGGCCCTAGAGGGCCCCATGCAGTCTAGAGGCTGCAGGTTCCTCACCCCTGCACTAGGCAGAGGGCTCAGTGGCTCAAGCCCCTGCTGCTTCTTTCTTCCTTGTCAGGAAAAGGACAAGCAACATAGATTGTTATCTAATTTTAATACATTACAATATAAAGCACATATATTAATATAATTAATAAAAAAGTAGGGATTGTTTCATTACGTGTGTATGAGATATATATGGAATATACATATACATATAAACATTTGTGTATATGGGGGGCATAAGTGTGTGTGTATATATTGTTGTTATTTCAGCCGTGTCTGACTCTTCTTAACCCCATTTGGGATTTTCTTGGCAGAGATACTGAAGTGGTTTGTCATTTCCTTCTCCAGTTCATTTTACAGATAATGAAACTGAGGCAAACAGGGTTAAGTAACTTGCCCAGGGTCACACAGCTAGTAAGTGTCTGAAATTGGATTTGAACTCAGGAAAATGAGTCTGGTACTCTATCCACTGTACCACCTAGCTGCAGTGTGTGTGTATGTGTGTTTATATATACATACATACACACAGACACACACATATATATACACATATACACACACACACACACATATAAATCCCCATATCCCCATTGACTGACACAAAATAGACATTTAATGTATGCTTGTTGATAGATGATTAATTGAATGGTTGAGCCCTTACCATCTGCTAAGCACCAGGGATACAAATACAAAAAGCAAAGGCATTCTATGGGAAGTAGGAAAGACGGAAAGTGGGAAAAAGGAAAGGGGGCAAGGCTGCCAGCCAGAAGGAGGAGATACCAGAGAAGCTAGAGCCAAGTGCAGTATGGCTGAGGCTTTTCCTGAAATAGTGGTCTAAGAGAGGCAAGCTCCTATCAGCTGAGCAGGACCCCAGGGCAAGTGCTTCTCTAGGGCCAGAAAGCTATTGCCCAGGAGGAGTACAGGAGCATACTGGGGTAGATACAAAGTTTAAACAAAATATAGCCTCTGCCCCTTAATGAGTTTATAATCTAAGAGCTTATCCCCAAACTCCCTCAAGTTATCCATCAGGGTGTCCCTCATTGCCCTTTGCCCTGTGGGGAGGTATACTCTGCCACTCCCCCCAACTCTTCCATGTTTCCAGCTTCCCATCTTATGATCTCAGCAACTATCAGAAGTAATGACATAAGAGCAAATCACTTCTGCACTTCCATGAAGATCGTGAAAGGATGAGTCTGGCAGGAGCTGGCTGGAGGGGAGTAGAAGAAAAAGACATCTTTTCACCCTAGTAACTAGAAAGCTTTCTGACTCAGAATCAATGTCAAACAGATTTTCAACTAGGATCTTGATAATTGGGAACTGCTAAATTCAGTTTCTGCTTTTTCCTCCTAACCAGTCCTTTATCCTGGCTACAGAAGCCCCATGATGTAGCAGAAAGGGCAGTGGCCTAGAAGTCAGGAGACTGTGGGTTCTAATCTCAAGTCTAACACTAACTATAAAGATAAGTCATCTAAACTCTCCAAACCTTAGATTACTTCTCTGTAAAATGAGGATAATAATGCCTCTCTCATCTGTCTCAGGGGTAGAATTAGAACTAGGGTGAGAATTAGTTAAGATAGTGTATGTGAAAAGATTTTGAAAAGTAGGAGACAATACAAAGGCAGAAAAAAGGAGAAGCAGTCAAGTTACTCAAATTAGAGAGTTAGCCCCCAACAGGCTTGGTGATAGAGTTTATGACCTTTCACCACAGTATTACTCTGAGTGAAACGAAGCATGGATTAGTGAATAGAGAGCTGGCCCCCAAAGCCAAGAAGACCTGGGTTCCTTCCAGTTCTGCCTCAGACATATACTGGCAATGTGACCTCAGGGTCACTAAAGAATTTACTTATTCTCTCAGTGTTTTTGATGATTCCCTAAAACTGTAGATTATAGAGAAAATGTGAATATTCATTGGTAAGAGGGAGTTTCCTCATCTGGGACTTTCTTTTAACAATGAAATCCTAGGTTCAATCCGTATTACCATGAGTGCCTTGGAATGCAGGGGCTGGGGCCAGGTGTGAGGGAGCTATATCTCTGCTCTCTCTCCAGGAATACCCACCAGCACAGGCCTCTCGGCCTTGCGCCAGGGCACAGACCGAACCCTGGGTGGCTTCCATGGCTGTATCCATGACGTCCGCATCAATAACGAGCTCCAGGATTTCAAGGCCCTGCCCCAACAGTCCCCAGGCGTCTTCCCTGGCTGCAAGTCATGTACCATCTGTAAACATGGCATGTGCCGTTCTGTGGAGAAGGGCAGTGTGGTCTGCGAGTGCCACCCAGGCTGGACGGGGCCATTGTGTGACCAAGAAGCTGGAGATTCCTGTCTCGGCCACAGGTGAGTCTCTTGGAGAGCAGGTGCACTGGACCTGGTGCACTCCCCCTTGGGCTCACAGTTCTGCTTCTCTCCCTGCCTGTGAAAGACCCTACCCCTTCCCCTTTTCAGGGCTCTTAGGCAGACAGGAGAGGGAAAGGGGAGGAGCGAGAGGGGAGACACACAGAGACGGAGACAGAGACAGAGAAAGAATGCTCTTTGATTATAGTGGAAGGTACTGAGATTAGAATTCAGGAAAAACTTGTTCACAGAGTTATGTACAAAGTATGACTAATAAGGTAAATGAGGCTGATTCTTTAATGAATGGTCTAAAAGTTATCTATCCAAATGAGTGTTATCTCCTTCAAAGCAGTCCTTGGAGGAAGACTTGGAGGTGCCACATATTTATTCAAAGATTCCATGGCTCATTGTTTCAGATAGACGAACAGCAACAGCAGCGATAGACAGATAGATGGATATGTATATAAATATATATGCACATGTGTTTATACATATACACATGGAGCCACTCTGTGATAGCAAAATGTCACCTTTTTAAAATGAATTAAATGTTAAGAAATAGCCAGAATTCATTCAGATCCAAGTCTAATGAATTGATATGGTTGGTCAAAGTGAGGAATCCAGATCTGAGTTTAAAAACTGATTAGACCAGGCACTTTATGTGACTTTTAAACTGGCTCTGCAAATAATTGTAGAAGAGGCTTCTTCTCTGGTGTTATTTAAAAATGAGAGACATACCTAAACATTATTTTTTATGGTCATGAAGGGTATTTTTGCCAGGTATGCAAGGCTAGTTCAAAAATAAGGGGAACTATTAACAATATAAAATGCAGACACTAACAAAAACTTTTAAAATATGATTGTTGAAACATGAATATATGTAAAAATGATAAAAGCCAACATTTGTTCATTATAAAAACACTAGGAAGTAATGGAACATTGGAATTTTTCCTCAACACAGTAAAACATATCTACCTTAAACCAAGAGCCAACATAATATGCAATGGACAAATATTAGGAGCATTACCACTAGTATAAATACAAATCAAAACATCCACTTCCAATGCTTTTATTTGACATAGTACTAGAAATTCTGGTAATTTCAATAAGACAAGAAAAAGGTATTAGTATTAACACTGGAAGAGGTCAAATGTAGAGGTCAAAATAGTATTTGCAGATATCATAATGGTGTAGCTATAAAATTCAACTGTTTCAACAAAAAAAAAATAGTGAGGCCAATAAATGAATTCATGAAGGATCCAGTATGCAAGATTATCATCAAATCATTTCAGTTCTCATTTACTAGCAATAAAGACTAAAACAAATCATAGAAAAGAAACCCATGTACAATAACAACAAAAATATTTGAGAATTATCCTACCTAGAAATACACATGACCTATATAAGAAAAACTTGAAAAGTAGTGACTAAAATACAGGAAGACAAATAATTGGTGAGGCATTTAATGTTCATAGATGAGTAAGATTAATGTGGTAAAAACAACAATACTTCCCAAACTAGTCTCTACATATTTAATGCGGTATCGATTAAAATACCAAGGAATTTCCTTATCAAACTGGGAAAAAAAACGTAATGATATTCCTTTGTGGGGAAAAAAAACAAACACATACGAATATTAAGGGACATTCTGGGAGGATGGAGGGAGCAGAGGGAGCACAGGGAGCTGGTGAAGAGCGTCTTGCTCTCCCAGATTGTAACACGTATTACAAAGAGATTATCAGAACTATGTGATACATAGAACAAACAATAAAGAAATAGATCAGTAGAATAGAATAGGTACTACAGATATCTAACCAAATATGAGCAAGAGATTAGTGTTTGATAAGCCTATAGGAAATAAAATCTGGAGAAAAGAATCATTATTTAATGTGTTGGGAAAGATAGGTAGTAATTTGGTGGAAAATGGATTTAGACCTGTAGCTTACATTTTTATATCTGAATGAATGACAGCTGGATGATGTACAAACATAGAAGAGAACTCTTAAAAAGATGAAAGAAAATAGATAAGAATGTACTTACCTCCATTAAAGCAGATGATTTTTTGTAATCATTAAAATTAAGAAATAGTATACAACAAAATCCAATATATTCAAAAGAGAAATAACAGATAGGGGAAAATATTTATGGCAAATATGGCATATAAAAAATTAACACTTTAAATATGTAAGGAACTGTTAAAGATGAACAAAGGTATCTCCCAGTTCACAATGTATAAATGGTCAGAAGACATGAACAGTTTTCAAAAGAGGAAACACAAATTGGTAGTATTTTCTTGAGAAAAAAAAAAACACAACCTCACTAATAACCAGAGATACAAATTAAAATGACTTTGAGCTACCATCTGACACCCATCAAATTCACAAAAATAAAAATAATGAAAAGTAACGAAACAATGCTAATAGGGTTATGGAGAAACAAGGTATGTTCTCATTCGTTTCTGGTAGAATTACAAACCTGTAAAATCTTTTTGAAGAGCAATCTGGGAATACAAAGTAAAAGTTACCCAAAAATTGTCTTACTTTTTGGCCCATGAATACCATTGTTGAAAATATATTCTGAGAGAAAGAGAGCCATTCAAAGATTTTCATAGCAGCATTATGTGTAACTTCAAAGACCTGGAGAGAGCCAAAATATCTGTGCTTATAAGTATAGTGCCCGGCACATAGTATGCCCTTAATAAATGCTTGTTGACTGACAACGGCAGGAGATTAGTTGAATAAAGTTTAGTGCATTAATGTTGTGCCATTAAGGCTTACAAGTATGAGGAATACAAAGAAATCTGGAAAAATCTTTATGAAATAATACAAAATGAAAACAAAATGAGAAGCCTAGAGGACACACTATGAGCATGTAAGGGGGAAAGCAGAGAAGAATGAATGAACAAAGAATCCTGATGGGGACTTATGGGGAGACTGAACAATTGTTAAGAAATTTCATACGTTGTCATGAATTCATTTAAATGTAAATAGTTATAATGCATGTTTGAGTAGTTGTATTATTCAGCATTGAGTTTTACTAATTTTTTGTTTGTTTTAAAGAACGGGAGACATTCTTTTCTATGAGTCTGGGGAAGGAGTTAGGCACCCTGGTTGTTCTCATTCCCGGTTCTAGTATATAAGCATATATAACAAATTCCTATTTAAGGAACTCTTAAAGCTTCATTGTGCTTAATTTAAGGCCTGTCTTTGTCCCAGGGATTGGGCTCCAGGATTGAGCAGTTTGCTCTCTGAGACGCCTTTAGAGTGACTCGACCTATGGAGGGTCCCCACCGGTGCTAATGCAGTATCTGTTCTCTCATTCCCAACCCCCATCCTTCTCAGGTGTGTCCATGGAAAGTGTGTGGCTTCAGGCTCTTCATACACATGCAAGTGTGCTGATGGCTACATGGGAGCCTCTTGTGACCGGAGGAATGACTCAGTCAGCCCCTGCTGGGACTTCAAGTGCTACCATGGGCAGTGCCACATCTCTGAGAGGGGGCAGCCCTACTGCGTGTGTGAGCCCAGCTTCAGCGGGGAGCACTGTGACCGAGGTGGGCTGTCCTTGAACTCCTGGGGTCTGAGAGGGGGGGCATCACCAGAAATAGGGGGATGAGGAGAGCATCACTCAGGACACTCTGCCCAGAAGAATGAGGAGGATCTCTTTTGCATTGAACTATTTTTTAAAATGAATTATTATGGCTATCTTTTGTTTTTTTATCACCTTTGTTTCCCACTGTATCCACCCCTTGTAATAAAGTATAAAATAAGAGAAAGAAAAAAAGTTTAGCAAACTAAACCAATCAAAAACCTCTGACTTATATGCAGTATTCTACACCCATGGTCCTCCACTTCTGCAAAGAATTGGGAGGAGGTGTCTTCTTATATCTCTTCTTCGTGGCCAGGCTTGGCCATTATGGTTTCACAGCATTCAGTTTTGGTTGTTTTGTTGGTGGTGTTCTTTCCATTTTCTTTGTTATAGTCACTGTACATATTGCTTTCCTGGTTCTACTTACTTCACTTTGTATCAGGTTATGTATATGTCTTCCCATACTTCTCTCTATTCATCATTTCTTACAGCACAGTAATAGTTCATTACATGCAGGTCCCTAAATTGGTTTGGCCATTCCTCAATCAGTGGGCATCCATTTTGTTTTCCATTCCTTGGCACTTATTGTTTTAAGAGTTGGAAATCTTTGCAAGCTGTTTAAAATCCCACCTAAAAGCTTACCTCAGGATCTAGGATTTCACTGCCCTTCTGGAAGCACTAGAAAAATGTGGGTATTAGGTAGTCTCAACTTAAGAGTGTGCCTTCAAGAAATATTTATCAAGCTCCAATTTGTGCTTTAGATACATATATACCATAAGGAGTCCTCTGGATCCTTAAAATTTACAAACAAAAAACAATAAAAATAAATAAAACAAAATATAATATAAAATATATTATTATGACATAATATATTTTGTCATATGTAATATGGCATATGCATACAATAATATATAATAATAAATGATAAAAATAAACAATTCACAAATAAAAAACCAAACAATTTATAAGAAAATAATTTATAAATAAATAAAGCCAAGAAACTTGCTGAATGAGACAGCTATTAAAGAAAATTTACTGAGTAAGAATGAATCTTAACTTGTAAGACGCCCTCCCTGAGGAACCAGCCTGTAGCGTCTCTGGATCCAATCCCAACTGCCATCAACCCTGTCAGAATACAACAGTTGACCGGGTTCTCTCTCCCTCTTGAAGACCCTATCATTTCATCTTTGTGTGTTCTTTCCACCAAAACAGACCAGAACACATCTCTGTCTGAAGATACTGTTTTCAAGTCACTGAGCAGGATTAATACACACTCGAGCCTCCTGGTGAAGTCTCTCTGAAGTTAACTTGGCTGGCCCCTGTTTGGGGCTTTTCCGTGTGCTCTGTGCCAAGGCTTATCCACTTCCTTACATGATGTTTGAGGGCCCAGGGTCCCTTCCACTCCATCGTGAAGCATCAGAATAGCATGTTCTCATTAACAGTAAATTGTTTCTTTTGGTTAGTGCCCCTGATTATTGGAACTAATTTAGAGGTATCTTCTCTCTCTAAAATTGGCCTCCCTTATTTCAGGATTTGCTCTGCCTCCCAGAAACTCTGATAGCTTCCACAGTGCCCTGTCACCATTTTTCTTTAGTCAGATAACCTTCCTCTGCTAAGACCAGAACCAGAGCCCTATTTACTACCCAGTCTTTATACATAGCAGAGAGGGGTGTAGCATAAAGAATAGGGTTGCTAGGATTGGAGTCAGGAAGACCTGGGTTCAAATCTTTCCTCTGACATTTATGAAGTACGTGACCCAAGCAGATTACTTCACCTGTATGTTTCCTATGTAAACTGCATTGATGGAGGAAATTCCTATATCTGAGGAACTCCCCAGGAAATCACAGATTATTTGTATAAATAGTACAAAATTATACTTTTTTAAAAAATGTATCTCTCTTCTCCCCTCTTGGGAGAGAGGGGTTATGGGTGGAAGATGGCCTTCAGTGTCAGATTGATGTGGTCATTAGTTTTGTCGGATATTTTTTTCACTTTCTTCTGTCTTCTTTGACTCACTAGCCAGGGCAGTGAAGAGGACTGTATTCAGAATTAGGTGATATAATACAAAAGATGTCAATGAAAATAAGATTTAAAGTGAAAATTACTTGGAAAAAGGGGGAGAAACTTATTTATAGAACACTTAATGGAACTTGAGTTTCATGACCGTAGATGCTGTCCTTAATTCTCTCCCCAGTGCCATGATTAGGACACTGACTCCGTCTTACCTTGACCATCAGACTAAGCTTAAAAGCATAGGAGGTGTTGGTTGTTTGATGGCAGGCAGGTTGGTCAAAAGATGAGACAGAAGAGACAGATGTGTGCCTTGCTACCCACAAATGGCAATTACCACCCCCAGGCATGCCACCATCTCCAAGAAAGAATGTACAGAGCTTCAGAGTGTCATTTCAAAATGATTATCATGCCCTCCCGGGCACCCTAACCAAGCTTGTGCCCGCCTCCTTTGTCCCTACAGAGAGCCCGTGCCAGGGGGAGGTGGTTCGAGAGGTGATCCGCCGGCAGCAGGGCTACGCATCATGTGCTACAGCCTCTAAAGTGCCCCTGATGGAATGTCGTGGGAGCTGCGGCTCCCAATGCTGCGTTCCCATACGCAGTAAGCGGCGGAAATATGTCTTCCAGTGCACAGATGGTTCCTCGTTTGTGGAGGAGCTGGAGAGACATGTGGAATGTGGGTGTCACAAATGTTCCTAATGCCATCTTCCCCAAGTCTCCACCACTTTGAGGAGGCAGGCACTGCCAGACATCGGCTCAATAGAGATGTCAAACATGGGACCTTGTTACTTGGAATGAAGAGGAAGAAGAAGAAAAAGAAGAGAAATATTAAGTATATTGTAAAATAAACAAAAAATAGAACTTATTTTTATTATGGAAAGTGACTATTTTCATCTTTTATTCTATAAAGTATCACACCATTTGGGTATATGTATCATATAGTGAGTTATTTTTACTGAGGTTTTTGTTTTGTGCTGTTGTTGTTTTTTTAATAGTTGTTTAAAATTTTAAGAAAATAACTAATAAAAAAATTTTAAAGGATAATAAAGAAGTCATAGCCTGCCCAAGAAATAGAGGAAAATTTATATGTTTATACAACAATACCATGTTAGAGGAGACCTAGGCAGTACTGAAGCCCTAGGTGGGAACCATATAGGAGAACAGAAGGGAAAAAAAAAAATCTTTCCCTTCCTTCGTTGCTTCCTTGTTTCCTTCCCTCCTTCCTTAGAACCACCTAGATCTCAAGAGAAACCATGCTAACAGTGGTCAGTATTCAAGCCTTTGGCCTAGTTATCCTCCTGAGTTTTTTCCTGCTCTCAATCTTTCCATACGTTGCATTCTGACCTGGCCTCAGTCCTTTCCCTCACCTCCTCACCTCAACTCTAGACCCCAAAGTTTAGGCAGATCTAAGAGGCACGGTGGCTTGAGATCTCTTTCCTGCTATGTGTAGAGCTAGCTCTCCCATACATTCCCTGTTTCAAGCCATAGGCCTAATGGACAGCTCTGCAATGGTTATCAATCAACAAGCATTTATTAAATGCTCCACAGTGCCAGGCACCGCACTAAGTAACCACTAGAGATAAAAAGATAGGAGAAAATGTGGATCATGGGGCCTTAGATTATCTTCCTGAGGACTAGCTAAGCATACATTCTGTCCTAGCATTCCCAAGGAGTTCTTTGTGCCAATGTCCTATGTTTCATATATTGGGGAGTAGGCAGTCTACATGGTTGCTGTGGTACAGAAATACCATAGAATTATAGAACTTCATAGCTCTTTTATTCCAATCTCCTCATTATACAATAGGGAAACTGAGAGACAGAGAGGGGTCAGTAACTAACTCATAATCACACAGCTAGGTGGCAAAAGAACCCAGGAGCTAGGACCTAAGTCTCTAGACCCATCGTGCTTTTCCCCTTTGCCAGCTGACAGAGCAACCAGAAAAAGCAATGGCCTTAGACATGGCCCTTTTACTTTAACACACACACACACACACACACACACACAGTCATTTCCTTCACCTCACATCTGTCTCAAAATGTTTCCATCATAGGTCCAAGAAGCTACCTGAAATGCTTAGGGAAGTTATACCCCGAGATATTCAGCTATGTCTCTAGTTTGGCTAAATTAGCTATGACAGACCCTCTGAGAAGGTTAACAAGAGGTGCCAGATAACTTTGGAGTTTAGCAATTGGCCCAGGTCCCAGAAGATCTTGAACCAGGCCATCTTTAAAGGCTTTCTCTGTCTCAGTAACTAATTCTAATATAAAGGGGAGGGAGGGAAGATGCTCTATAAAAATTATATAATGGTACCCCATATGAACTTGTGGTTTTTTTTTTAATTAATGGACTGTCATATTCTGATGTCATTTTAAAATAAGTGGTTGGGTTACAGAGGGGCCATCACATGCTCTGATAAATACTGTGACTTAGTACTATTCTACAGTGTGATTTTCTTATTAATCTTATTCTTACCCTACCCTGTACCTTCTGAATTGGTTTGTTTTCTGGTGCTAAGGCTATTTTCCTCTTTGAAGAACTTCGGCAACCCTGGTGTGGAAAAGAATCAGGAAGAGGCTGATTGCTTGGTTCTAAGACTAGGGGATTGGGAATTGTGCCTGGCTGTTAGGAAAGAAAGCTCATGCCCAGAGCAAATGAAATATCTATGAAGCACAGGGGTCAGCCTATCCCCATGGTCTCAGCGATTTCATCTGCCCACCTCAAAGACATGCAGATGGTGTGACTAGAGTGAACACTACCAGACACTATAGAAGTAAGTGGTGGGGGAGATACTTAATGTGCAATAAGTTTGTGGTGGGAGTGGATTGGAGTTGACAGTGAACAGAAGAGAAAGTTGGAAGAATAGGTTGGGGCCAGATTCTGAAAGAACTTGAATGCTAAGGTTTTTGTTTTTCATTTTTGTTTTTTTGGGGAGGGGGTGTTTGCAATACTCTCCAGCGCCTAATTAAATGCATTTTAAATTCCCCTCTGATCCTGGAGTGGGAGATTCAGTAGCAGCTAGTTCATGATTGGAGCCTGGGGATAACTTTATGGGCAGGAGACCTGCTTATATTCTCACTGGTCACTGATGGTCCTGCAGACTGGACTATGCTGAAAGATGCCCAGTGGTCACTGGCATGGGCTCTAGGACTAGCCCAAAATAAGCAAGGATGCACAAGCAGACAGTGGGTAGCACCACCTCCCCTTGAGCTGTCTTCACAGTACTGGAAGGGAGATTTTTGAAAAGCATCCATGTCCAGGGTTAGAGGACACAGATGAAAACTCCAAGCTTCCATAGGCTCCAGCTTAAATTCTAAAGGCTGTTTCCCAATACCTTAGCAGATGGGCTTATCTTAATTTAATTTAGCTCAATTCAATAAACATTTATTAAGTGCCTACTATTTGCAGAGCACACATTGAGTACTACTTGAGATAAAAAGAGTAAATAAAACATGGCTTCTGTCATTGAGTTTATAGAAACACATACACAGATAACTGTAATATGTTAAGTCCATGAGAAATGAAAAAAAGGTTAAATGAGATCTAAAGAGGAAAGGAGCTGCAGCCTAGGGTTTCAGAGAAGGTTTCATCAAAGTAGTCTGGCATAGTGAAAAGAGAGCAGAATTTTGAGTTGGAGGATCCAGGTCTGACACATTAGTTGATGTAACTTTGAGCAATCACAGTGAAACTCCAGTTCCTCCCTCCGCAAAATAAGGCAACTGTAACTGATCTCTACATGTTTTTCCAGGTCTAGACCCTATGATGCTAAAAAGGGCATTTGAGTTGGGCTTTAAAAAACAGGGAAGATATCAACAGGGAAAATTCCAGTTGGGGAAAAGACAACATTCTACCATATAGGGAGGAGCATAAGAAGAAATCCAGAGATTGAACGGTACAAGGGTTGCACAGGAGAGAACGGGAAGGGAGATGGTTAATTGTCCAGATTACCTGAGGGAATAGAGGATAGTAATATGACAAAAGAATGGAAAAGTAGGGTGACCCCCCCCAAGATGGTGGAGAGCTTTGGATGTCAGTCAAAGGAGTCTAAACTTCCCTCAGCTTAATAGGGAGCCACTAGAGATATTTGAACATAGAAGTGGTATGACCCAGTTCTATGAATGTGGAAAATTAGTCTTGCAAAGATAGGTTTTTTTCTTCTTGAAGCAGGAAGCCACTGATCCTAGTGGACCTAAACACCAGAAGCTGGGAAAGGGCTCTAATTAAGTGTCCTTAGGGCACTAGTTAAGAGCCCTAAGGATTACTCCTTTAGGCCAATAGTTTTCAGACTTTGTCATCTTAGGATCTGTTACATTTTAAAAAATTATTAAGGGGGGGGCAGCTAGGTGGCGCAGTGGATAGAGCCCTGGCCCTGGAGTCAGGAGGACCTGAGTTCAAATCCAGACTCAGACACATTACACTTACTAGCTGTGTGACTTTGGGCCAGTCACTTAACCCCAATTGCCTAGCCAAAAAAAAAAAAAATTTATTAAGGACCACAAAGAGCTTTTGTTTATATGGGTGATTTCTATTGATATTTACTATATCAGAAATTAAAACTGACAGTTTTTAGAAATATTAATTCATTAAAAAATAACAAGCCCATTATATTCACAACATTTTTATGAAAAAATAACTATTTTCCAAAGCAAAAACAATTTACTGAGAAAAGAGGCTTTGTTTTATATATTTTCACAAATCTCTTTAATGTCTGGCTTAATAGACGATAGTTGTATTCTCATCTCTGCTTTCTGTGTTCAATTTGTTGCTATGTTGTTTTGGTTGAAGTATATGAAGAAAATCCAGCCTTACACAGATATGTACTTTGAAAGGGAAGTAGTATTTTAATAGACAAATAATGTGTTAGTATTATTGTGAAAGAATTGTGATCTCACGAACTCCCTGACAGTCTCAGGGACCTCCAGGGGTTCATAGAACACACTTTAGGGAATATAATTATGTTCCCTATATAATATTACTTTACATCATGGTATCATTACCCTGTACGAACTTGTGTTTTGAAAATCACCTCTTGAGGCCACGGCCCATCGCTTCATCCCTAGCTGTCAGTATTCTCACAGAGACTTGCGACAAGGAAGGAGTGGGGTAGAACAATTGCCAGGGGTGATGGGGACCATGTTTTCTCTACATGCACCTTTTATTGGCTTTGCTTCCAGTGAGCCACACCTCCGTATTGGCTTTACTTTGTACGCCTTGTGCTGGATAAAAACCAGAGATAAGCCATGGCTAGCCATGTTCCTTGATCAAAGAGTTATAATGGTTTCTCACCGCCTGTAAGATAAAGCCCAAACTTCTCAGTCTACCATTCAAAGTATTTGACAATATGGACCCAAGCTGTCCTTGTACCCTCATGTCTCACCAAACCCCTAGGAAAACCTATTCCATTCAGACTGGTCTCTTTATTGTCTCCCCAGACTGACCTGCCCATTTTCTACTTCTGTGTCTTTGCTGCTGTAGAGAAGCCCTGTACCTCCTCTGGGCCTATTCCAATCCTACCAGTTTTTCAAAGCCCAATTTTAATCCCACTTCATGAGAGGGTACTAGAATATAGATTTAGAGCTAGAATCTCAGAAGTCATCTAGTCCAACCCCTCACTTTAAAGACAAGAAAAATGAATCCCAGAGAGGTTGCCACTTGTCCAGAGTCACACAGGTTGTAAGTGGTTGAGCCAATATTAGAACCCAGGTTGTTGGGCTCCAAATCCAGGGCTCTTTCCATCATGCCATGCTTTTCTTGACCATTCTGAACCAAGTCACTTCTTTTCTCTGAATTCTCATGCAGTGTAATCACATACTGCCTTGCTCTGTTATTTAACTATTTCATAGATGTTTGTCTCATCTCGCCACAAAGACTGTAAGTTCTTCAAGGACAGGGAACTTATACTTCTCTTTTACTTCTTATAGCACCTGGTACAGTGCTGAGCACATTATAGGTGCTTAATAAAGATAAATT